AATCTTATTTTAATTTTTTTTTACTTATTTTTGGAGTGGCCTTTTTTCCAGTGCGTATCGGGAATAAGAATGAAATGTATCGTTATTGTATGTCTTTGAGTGAGTGAGTGTGAGAATGAGGCTGGGACTGTGTGATTGTGTCTGTGTATGATTGGGTATTTGTTAGGCCGATTCTCGGACTGCCCCCTCTTTGATACAACTGCGGGTGCTTGGCATCGTGCCCCTATCGCGCGGCCCCCTGGTGGGGTGTGTCCTTGCCTGCCGGCGCGCTTGGGGCCCTTGGAGTCGGGGGCTGGGCGCTTGGGCGTGTGTCGGCTCTGCCTGGTGTTTGCCTGGTGTTTGCCTGGTGTTTGCCTGGTGGGGCTCGGGTCCTCTGGCCCTGTCAGGCCTTGGTCTGGGTGGTGTGGGTCCTCGGTGCCCGGGCCTCCGTGTCCGGGCCTGGACCTGCATCAGTGCGGCGGGTTCCGGCGGGGGCCTATGAGTTCGTCGCTGTTGGCCCTGGGGGGTCACTGTATGTGGTCGCTGGTGGGGTTCTTCCGGCTCTCCCCTGTGGTCCGATCTGGGGGGTGGGCGAGTGGTTCGTCCTGTGTGGGTGGCCCTGGGGGCTCCGCGGTCAGGGTCCCTCCTGGGGTCTTGGGCTCTGATCCCCCCTTTTTTCGTCTGCCTCTGGTCTTGGGGGTCGGGTCTCTGCTGCTTCACAGTTACTATTAAATGTTCTATTAGAGAAGCCTTATACACTTATGCATGCTCACAACCACACACAAATAGAAGCAGGGATGCTTATGTAGGCTTTATATGTAGATATATAGATGTGTATATGAATGTATATTCATGTGTATGTATGTATGTATATAGGCGTAGGTATGAGCATATATATTTATGGAAACTTACTGCAAAGCAATGAATATTTTAAGTTCTTTATACATATGTATTTTATTGCTGTGTTTTGTCATGTTCTTTGCAGGTGAACAGACAGTGGCCGGGTGTTTTGCCGTGTGCTCTCTTTGTGTATATTTCTTATATTTTGGAGTCTTACTTTGTCTTTTCTTTCTTTCAATCCTATTAAAAAAAAAAAAAGCCTACACTAGATAGTCACTAGAATAAATATTTCATAATAATGGTGTGGAGAGGATGGCTGTAAGGGGAGAAGGGAGGCCATCAAAAAAAAAAAAAAAAGATGGCCGCCACAGTTAAATAACAACAGACGACACATAAATGTCTCTAACTCAGTCAGTGTTACAGATGTTGAGTCTAATTCTGAGGTGGTAGTAGCTGAGAGTCATGGAGGCTGAACTTAGAAGATCTGATCCAAACTTTTTACGCTGACACATTTCAAGAAGTCAGAAGAAAATGGACATGATGCAATAATCCACATTTCAACAAGTCCATTCATCAAATGAGTTCTTAAATAGAGAAGCATCAATTGTTTGAGCCACACAAATAAAAACATGTTGAAAAGAGCTCAATGAGAGGCTGATTTCACACAGAAAGCTCACGTTCTTAAACAACAGCTGCAGCTCCATCAAATGAGCAGCCACCATGAAGCAGCTCATTTCATCTGCTACATTTTAGCTGCTCTTTGGCCTTTTGGACACTAAAGAATAAACTACAAACTTCTAGTAATTCACTTTGTTGGAAACAAATTTGAGCTCTTCAGAAAAGCTCCATGTGGCCATCACTAGTCTTTGCTCCAAATGGTCTGTAAGGTTCTGGATCCATTCTCAGTCTGGACAACAGGAAGTAGCTGGAGCCAATCAGAGCGTCTGAAATGTGGTCACATGTAGAGGCGTGGCCAACTGGAGCCAACGTTCATTTGTATTATCATGTGATTTAATCTGATCAGTTTAATATAATCCAAGAACTTCTCGATGCAGTTAGCCTCTAAATACGCTGCTCTCAGCGCAGACCCATTGAATGAAGTGGTGACCTTCAAGAATTGTCTCTGACCTTCATGTTCACATGTTGTTTCGGTCTAAAAACTCCAAAGGCTTGTGTTAGAATGAAGGGGCTCAGTGTCCATATGCTGAAGCAGTTTTGAAGGTTTCAGGGCTTCACTGGATCGCAGCTTGCTACATGTGACACAGAGCGCACTCAGCACGTACACCTCACCTGATGCCATGAAACTTCATTGAAGGACTCTCAGTGTTTTCTTTCTTTTTGGTGGCAGCTGTGGAGCTTCTGCTGCCTCATCTTTAGGCCTTTCCCCCTTTTTGAAACCAGTTCTCCAGCAACGTTTGGTCTGGACTCAGTTTTCATGAAGTTAGTTTGAGAGCTGCAAGAAAATGACACACAGACAAGCTGGAACTGATTTTCAAAATAAAATACCGTGCACACTAACAGAACCAGGAAAATAAATCAAAATCAAACTTTGTCTACTTTTCATGCAGCAAATGATCCAAAGCCCGGTTCTGGTCCTCAGCCTGGTGGTTGGGCCCCCCAACCTGAACCCCCTCAGACAGAAAGTCCCTCACTTGCAGGTGAACTCACCTGGTTTGATGTAAAACTCTGAGGAGAGATGAAAGTGAATGTGTTCAGTGTGTTCAGACTCCATTTAGTGTGGACAGAAGAAGAAGATCAAAGGACACATGTGGATCAGAGAAAGTGCTGACTCAACATTCTTCTTCTCCTCTCAGTCTCTGAATGACTTTTCTCTCTGTGACACAAAAAGACAAACTCTAAGAAGTTTTTGTTGCTGCACAGGCACCATTTAAACACGAGCTTCATTCATGACTTGGAGTATTTCCAGTTTCAAACCAGAGCAGGAAACTGAAACCATTTAACCTGATACAAGTGAACACAGGACACGCCTCCAAAGTGACCGGAACAACTTTCATTACAATGTAAACTGTAAAGTTTTCCGTATTTTTGTCCTGCAGATGCAAACAGCCACAGAATGCTGTGTGTGTCAGCATGTAGAGTGAAAGTGAGAGTGATGTGAAGTTTCTAGAACAGTGGCTGCATGAGATGCTATAAATCCTTCGAGCTCAGAGTTTCAGGAGGCAGTGATCCACTTTGGTCTCCAACATCCTGACAAGAAACAATTACTGAGTCCACACTGAACAACAAACCAGCATATGAGTTGTTCTGCAGCACAAAGCAGCAGCAACATCCTCATCTTCTCACCTACAAACATTCTGGACTCTCATTCAACATCTGGAAACAGCAGGCGGAGTCAGGAGCCTACCTGCGACAGGGGGCGGGGCTTAACGAGTGCTGAGACTGGCTGCAGGACAGAAATGTGACTCCAGCGTTCAGCTGGACGCTGACAGAAACAGATCCACGTCAGCAAGTTTCTCTCCTTGAGCATGTGACTTCTGACACATCAGTCCAGATGTTTACCTGCAGCTCAGGTGTTCCAACAAAGTTGCAGAGCCTCATTCTTCAGGTGGGAGGGACTCAGTGAAGAATGAGAGTGTGGCCTGTTCCTAACAGTCTCTATATCCCTGCCCCACCTGTCTTCAGGTCCAACAAGAACCGCCTCCACTAATGCTCCAAAATGAAAGTCCAGCATTAAAAACCCTCCAGTGCTTTTATTGTGGTGGAAAATGATGCTGTTGTTGCAAGATTGAACTGTGTTGAAGCTCACAAAGAATTTAGGCTCATCCACATCACTCAACTTTATCAGCACCACTTCTAAAAGTTCTGCAAACAGGGACATGTGAGATTTTAGCCACAGCTAGTTCTTGTAAAGCCTCAAAATGTGTGTGAATGTGCAGAAAGTACTTTCTAAAGCATCTGATTGAAGGAAACAAAGAGTGTGAAGCTTTTTGGCAACAGTGACAGGACTGTATATATATAGAGAAAATTGTGTTGGTGTCACTTTGTTCATGTGTGTTTTCTTCTCTGAAGGAGGAAACAGACACAGAAAAACATTCCTAAAAAGTGAAACTTCAGGTTCTTCATGTAAGTCATTCTTTGTTTCCAGCAGCAGCGATCTGGGTCAGCTCCGTCAGAACACACTCTTAGATGTGAGAGGACGTGTGTGTGTCGTCTGTCAGCGTTTCTGCTGTGAGTCTGTCTCAGCTTTGATGTTTGTCTTTGAAACTGGAAACAGACGTGTTGCTGCACTTTATTTCTCTGACACAAACTTTATTGATCCCTGCAGGAAAACAGCTTCGTACCATCTCCCAACAGAACAGGAAGCAGGTGAGTCTAAACTAAAGAAAAGTGAAACTCTGATGATGTGATGGATGAACTGAGAACAAGTTTAGAGTTCTTCAGTTCTGAATGCAGAACAGTATTTATAAATGTGAATGTGTTCTATCTGTGAGACTCTCTGTGGAGTTAGAGCAAGGCTGCCCAAAGTCCAGCCTGCACACGGATCATGTGACACCAAAAACTGCAGTTTAACAATAAAATCATTTTGTCCTTTTGGACTTCAGAGGTTGATGCAGATGGACACCTTTTGAATCTTTTAAGGACATTTTTATTTTGATACTTTTTAGCTTTAACAGAAACTTGATGAAAAAATCTTCTTCAAATGTGTCGCATTAAGAACGTTTTTCATCTTTAATTCGTCTTATGACTTTTATTAAATTTCATGGTGAAAGAATCAAACGTTTAGTAATTTTAGTGTTTTTAAAATAAAAACTCTGTTGACTTCATCATCAATAGAGGGAAATTGGAGCCTTGAAAACTTGGAAAACCACTTTCACATTTTCCAGACATTGAAAACTGAGAGAATTTGAACTGATCTGATGATTAAAAGATGATTTTTCACAGATTTGGATGTGCACGTGTATTAATGCTGGTATTCTGGTACCAGTGAGTCCATGTTGCGCTACTCCAGTTTACCAGTTTGTTACTCCTTTCATGACTCAGAACGTTGAGGCATCAGATCTCTAACTGCTACAATAAATTTTTGCTCGCCACCTAAGAAGCGAAGTTGTGAGCGTTTTGTGACTGAAAGCGTTTTGTGACTGAAAGATCTCCTGCAATTTCAGGATTCACTCAGGGAAAAATCAGGGGCTTTTATTTTGCTGAAATGCTGTGAAGTCTGCGTTCAGTCAGACTTTCAGTGAAGAAGAATGATTTGAAGCTTTTCTCTGCTTTCATCAAGTCCTCCCAGCAGCTGAGATCTAACATGTGTCTCTGTTTGTAGTTCCTGTTCTAAAGTGTGAAACAGAACAGGAGGAATGAGTGTGATGCTCTGAACACCGATGATCCTCTGCTGCAGCTTCTATCAGCTGAAATGCTGTAAATGTTGAACTGAGTGAATGTGAACGCACTGAAACTTCCAGTCACTCAGTCAGTGTGTGTCAGTGAATGAAATGTGTGTGTGCTGGGGTGCAGCTCCATGACTCCATCTAGTGGACTGATAGTAGAAGTCCAGCAGCTGATGCAGCTTCCTCTGCCTCACTCTGCTGTCTGACTGCATTCAGCTGAAGCTGAGAAGAAACAAAGAGCCAATCAGAGGAGGAGGAGCTGATCTTTTTACAGCACACATCATGGAAAGGAGGATTAGAGTTGATGTTCAGATGAATGATTTGTGTTTCCTCTGCAGGTGAAGGTAGAAAGTGTGTGTGAGCTGATGTGAATTCAGTGTGGATGTGGATCAGTGTGAGGACAGAGAGGCGGGAGTCCCTCCCTCTAAAACCACTCTGTGTGGGGAACATGAGAGCCAGAGCAAAGATCAGAGGTGACATTTCTAACTGTCCATGACTCTTCTCCATGTCAGAGCTCAGCACTCACAGCAACACACTGACTTTATTCATAGGAACACATCTGGACCTGGACCTGGACCTGGACCCAGCTGTGTGTACTTAAATAGCAACATGTCAAAGGAAATTATTACTGATTTCAAACAAAGTGTTTCCTCCAACAACCATTAAGTTTCTCTCAGAGTCCAGTCGAGGCTGGATGATATTAAAGATAATTGTTTTCTGTTGAACGACTTTGAGTTGATTTTTATTTCATTTCTCTGAGACTAAGTTGCTGCTTTCTGTCTGCAACTTGTTTCAAACTCTTGTTAAACAAAGAGAATAAATGTCAAATCATGTGAGTTTTAAAGGATACTGATTGTATCATGAACAAAGCTGCTGATGACAGAATCCAGCAGGAACCAGAACCAAACTGAGCCTTCAGCTCTGCTTTTTATTCTTCTCATGTTCATATGATCCATCAGATGGATTTTAGAGGAAATGATGAACATCTTCTGAAGTTGGAGCTCATTACCGTCTCCATGGTAACAGAAACTCTCAGCTGTCTCAGACTGACAGTTACAAACATCCAGGATCAAATCTCCAGTGGAAAAACCAAGACCCTCCTCTAAAACTCTGACTGACAGAGACAGAACCAGAACTCCCATCACAACCAATTTCATTCAGTTTCCAGAACATCAGCAACAATCTGGACTTTTTACTAGTTTTACTAGTTTTTGGTATCAGTCTGGTCTCCAGTAACTGGTTTAAAGTCTGAATTGTTTCCAGCAGATTTCCACGTCTCCTTCATTCTGGGACAGAGTCCGAGCTAACAGATCTGGTCTAAGCCCTCCTTGTTTCTGGTCTCTGAGTGGAGGTTCAGGTTTTTCCAGCAGCTGACACAACGAAAGGCTGCTGTGTTCAGCTTGTTGTGTAGTTTCAGAGAACTTCCAGAAACAGAGAGTTCAGGCTGTGATTCTGAGTCCACCTTCTCCTCTCTCAGTCTCTAACAAACACAGAGGAGGCTGCAACTCTCTGCTCTGCTGCTGCCAATAATCTGAATTACTCAACTACACACTCATCCACTTTAATCCAGTTCAAGAACACCATGTCTGCTGCAGGAAGAGGAGGAGAACTGGAGAAGACGAACTGTAGAATTACAGATGTAGTGTCCTGCAGCTGGAAAGGATCGTTTCAGGATCAATAACTGAGAACAAATAATCCTGTCACTTTCATCCAGAATGTTCCAGGATCCAGACTCAGGATCTAACACCAATCACCATGACTCAATCATTATTATTATTTTTTTAATTTAAATTTAAATTTTTTTAACAGGATCCATCAGAGACTCAAAGCTGGACCTGAACCCAGCTGTGTGTCCTTAAAGAGCGACCGGTCAAATGATCAAATTATTGATTTTAAATCAGGCCAGCCTCCATCAGCAGAGAGGTGAGCTGTCTCTAAATGTTGCAACTGTGTAAAATGTAACTGAGTCAGTCTGAAATGTTTTCATTCCAACATGTGTTTCATGTGAGCTCAGCTCTTTTTCACACATTTCTATGTTCACATGTGAAGCGGTGTGTGTTGGATGTTTTCTCCAAATTCAGCAGTCAAAGTGAAAGAATGGGTGTTGTGGGAGGAGTTTCTGAGTGTCTGTAGGTCACCAGGTGGTCCAGCAGGTGTCACCTTTGACCTTTGCTTCAAACACAGTGTAGGTGGGAACTTCCACTCAGGTGGCAGGCGTTGCTGGATGAAGGAGGTTTCTGGAGCCTGACTCCAAGTGGACATTTAGCTGCTGTTTGTCTCTGTGTGGACAGACAGAAGTGGAGCTAATTCTTCATGATTCCTCCACAGAGTGGACCAGCAGAGCTCAGAGGTTCCCAGTGCTCAGTCTGCCCAGCAGCATCAAACACAGCTGGACTCCATATTTATGGTGCGTTCATGTACAACAACTACTTTTCCATGGGTTGTGTTCACTGTCATCTCCATGCTGCACTTTGTAGACCAGTGGACTGTCAGTCTGTCCAACATGTAGACCAGTGGACTGTCAGTCTGTCCAACATGTAGAACATTGGACTTTCAGTCTGTCCAACATGTAGACCAGTGAACTGTTAGTCTGTCCAACACGTAGACCAGTGGACTGTCAGTCTGTCCAACATCAAGACCAGTGGACTGTCAGTCTGTCCAACACGTAGACCAGTGGACTGTGATTATGTCCCACATGCAGACGAGTGGACTGTCAGTCTGTCCAACATGTAGTCCAGTGGACTGTCAGTCTGTCCAACA